GAGAAGTAATACCCATCCACTTAAGTTATACTTAAGTAGTATAATTCCAGTAATAAAAACATTTTTCAGAAATAAAAATTATGAGCATGAATTAAGAGATCCCAAAATATGAGAAGATTTTTTTTTTCATTTTTCTTTTATTATTCATATGTGCATACAAGGCTTGGTTCATTTCTCCCCCCTGCCCCCACCCCCTCCCTTACCACCACTCCACCCCCTCCCGCTCCCCCCACTCAATACCCAGCAGAAACTATTTTGCCCTTATCTCTAATTTTGTTGTAGAGAGAGTATAAGCAATAATAGGAAGGAACAAGGGGTTTTGCTGGTTGAGATAAGGATAGCTATACAGGGCATTGACTCACATTGATTTCCTGTGCGTGGGTGTTACCTCTAGGTTAATTCTTTTTGATCTAACCTTTTCTCTAGTTCCTGGTCCCCTTTTCCTATTGGCCTCAGTTGCTTTTAAGGTATCTGCTTTAGTTTCTCTGCGTTAAGGGCAACAAATGCTAGCTAATTTTTTAGAAGAAGAAGAAGATTTATAAATTAATCAAATTAAGTCATCTTTTTGTCAGTCTGAGGAGATTCTTCAGATACTTAGTAGAGTAATTCATGACTGTTTTATATATCGTTAAGATAATTTCATTAAGAAAGTTTATTGTCATTGGGTAATAAATCATCTCTTGGAATTAGGATGTTCCTTCTTTAAAAAGAAACCTTTCTTTAAAATTTTTTTTTCTCTTTAGAGTACTAGCAAAATTCAGTGATATAAACCTACATGTCTATTTTCCTGATGACACCCTTGAAAGAAAATTTGCCTTTGTTGCCGAAAAGGGATTTGATTTCATTCCCCATGTATTCTAGTCATGCTTTGCTTTCACACAGACCCCTCAGGTTGTGTTTTGGGTTTGGGGTTTGTTTTTGTTTTCATTTTTTTTGTTTTGTGTTGTTTTTTTGCCAAACTGGGGATCAAACACAGGGCCTCATGCATGCTAGGCAAGCACTTTATCACTGAACCACACCCTCAGCCCTTGTGTCTAGTTTTTGATTGGTCCTTACCCCAGACCAGTCTTGTTTGTCTTTTTTTTACCCCTTTGTGTAGAATTTTTAAAATCTCCCCTAAACCTGTTTAGTCTCCTAAACAGGATTTTTCAGCATTTTTATGTATAATAATTTTCCATTCCAGCATGAGTTTTACCTTCCCTTTTGTGTACAAATGCATGCAAAGTGGATTTGGAAAACAGATTTAAGTAAAACTGATAAATAGTGAAAAATACTGCATATGTAAAATACATATTTGCTATAATGAAAGTGTTTTGACTAACATGTTAGAGTAAGGTAATAAAGAATCATTTTTAAATGTTGCACGTTATTCAGAAACACTACATAGAAAGAAGACCCTTAATGATCTTCAGCCTCCTTCCACCCTGCCAAGATTATCTCTCTTCATAGTATGGTGAACCAGGCATGGTCTTTGCTACCTGTAATCCTGGCTCTGGGGAGGCAAAGGCAGGAAGATCACTAGGTCAAGGCCATTGGGGCTACATAGCAGGACCCTGACTCGAAATACACAGTGTGGTTAATAACAACATTTTTTAAACCTTTATCATTATGAGTGTTCAACAGCTTTTATATATATGTATGTGTATATATATATATCTATATCTATATCTATATCTATATAGATATAGATATAGATATATATACACAAAATATCTTTGTGTTATTCCACCTCATTTTTTAATAGCTAGTTGTATGGTTATATAGATGTCTTACAGTTTATTTCACCAGTTTCTTCTTCATTCCATTCAGTTAAATTGTTTTCAGTTTTTAGTACTTAACAAGCTTAGAATACCTTTAGGATATTACTATAATGTTGTGTATGTGCTGCAAAACATTATTTTCTAGTTTGTTGATTTTGCTGGTTTTTACTAATTTCACATTAAATATAAAAAATAATTTGGTCACACTAGTACTCTGCTTTTATAAACAACTTTTTTGGTGCTGCTGTTTTAAAGTAAACTATGAAGCTAATTAATGATTTTGAATTATGGCCATCTTAAAATAGGGTATAAAATAAGAAGGTTTGCTATAGGAAAAATTGTATTTGAGATTGAGTTCCTTTAAATTGAAATTTATTTTGGTTCATCATTCCTGAAACTACTCTTCATATTGTTTAATTGTAAGGGAGTTAAATATGATAACTCCTAAAATTGACACATATTAGGAAAGAGAATTCAGCATATAGACAAATTCATCAACATGTTTCCAAAAACTGTTGAGGATTAAACTAAAATTATATAAATGACTTTTTCACATATATTTTAATGAAATTATGAAAGAAGTCCTTTTTTAATGCAAATAATCAGTCCCTAACTTGTCTAGAAGTTAAATATACACTTGAAGTACACCTTTCATGTTGTTAAAAGTTTTAATGAATAGGTATTACATGTTCCTATGGCTTACTTATACACCCTAGGTTTGGGGAGGTTTGAGAAAATTTTAACTGTAATCTGGTTAATACTATAAATTTCATATGCACATATAATCTATTTGTTATATTCTCTTAAAACTAACCCAATAAGCTTTTTTTTTTCTTCCTGGCTTTGTAGTTTACTTCACCTCGCAGTGGTATCTTCTGAGTAAACCAGTCTATGCTTAGTTTGCATGTGGTGAGTGGAGAATAATATGTCTTGTGTCTGTTGTGCAAAAATCAACTGTATTGCATGATACTAACCATTTTACTGGAATCTTTTTGTTCTCATTTAATGAACATGTGGTTATGCTTTGAGTTCAAATAAGTATTTTCTGTTAATTCTGTTATATGGGTCAACAATGCATAGATTAATAATCACCAAGAATGGCCTTTGAAATTTTCAAAGTTTGAGAGAGAAATGAAAAATCATTTTCTAAATAAAAGTGAAGTGATATAGTTCACAAGTCCAGGTTTTAAAAGCTTAAGTAGATTCGAGGTTAGATTGAAATAATGAAAACTAGTAAGGCTAATTAAAAATAAAAGGAGTTTTATTGTATCCTGGGATCATACAGTCAACACAGGATAGCACATTTGTTTTGAGGATACTTTTAGGCAGCCTCCTTTAATTGAATGTGGCATTTCTTTTTGAAATATTTTTATAGTGAAATATAGGTATATAAAATGTTTTATATAGTTCACTCTAAAATATTACTATTATTAACTTGATATAGCACCGCCTTAAATATTTAGGGTACATCTTGACCTCAGACTTTGTGATTATTTTCACATTATAAATAAGCAGACACAATTAATATAGTTTAATTATAATTAAGGATAATGATTGTTAATTCAGCCAGTATTCAGCTAACAGCATCAAAGTTTTATGCATCACTTCTTTTTGTTAAGCTTTTATCTTTAAGAATCCTCTATGCCTGCATTTGGGTCTCCTTTTAATCTTAATGTATATAATTTGATTTGCCTACGTCATTATCTGGAACTATCTTATTGTTCCTATTATCTACATTATAATGGCTGGCATTGCACTACATGGTTTTATTGGGTTACTTTTATAATAAATATATGAAAACTGAGAAAAATCTCACATCTAACCATTAAGTCTTAATATTGTCCTTTTTCATATATTATAAATATTATGTCATATTTCTTACATTATTACAGATAAAATCAGAGGAAATGCATACTGTATAATGTATAGCATTTCTGTTGATTGATTTTCCACTCAATTTTTTGTTTTAAACATTTCAGACCAACTATCAATATTTTATCATATTTCTCCCTTGCTCTCATTCTTGATTTCTCTCCATATTTATTTTCCCCCATTGTAGCAATTGGCAGTTATTTGCAGACATTGTGCTTACAAGATTTGACAGTTGCAAAATAAGCAAGTACTTTAAAATATATCTTTAAGGGGAGCATTTCCCTACATGCTCACAATATAATTATCACACTCAAGAAAGTTAGTATCAGGGTATTGCTATTAACCAGCATATAATATTCATTTTTCCCAGTTTTATGAATAATATCTTCCATAATATCTAAGATCCAGGATCATATATTGCAGTTAGTTGCCATGTTTTTTAGTCTCTGTTAAACTAGAAAAGTTCACCCAATCTTTTTGTCTTTTGGAACATTGGCATTGTGCCACAGTGTTTAATTTTGTTCCCTAGAATAGCTGAAGCTATTGACAGTGGAGTAATTAAATTTAACAGATCTTTTTCATATCTTTTTTTAGGTTCCTAGAAATAGCATGATATTGCTCTAGTTTCATAAATAATATACTATTAGGAGTATGTCATGAGTAGTAGATCATATTGTTCATTTATAAATGGAGAAGACTTTGAAATTTCTTTTTTCCACTAAAAATATATGGAAGGTTTGTCTATTACTTAATCATACTTGGTAATTTATTTGTATGACATTTTAAACCTCATACTTGATCTGACTTTAAGCTTTTAGCATTCTAATATTATTGAGAAACTCTCTTAGGAAGATTTCAGCTTTGTTTCTCATAGTATTTTTAATGTTTTAAATTAAGTTTGTTAATTCTAGATGAGGCTTCGCTCTTCACACAATGCTGTATGTCTTTTGCTGACATGCACATCATGGTAGGAGAATCAACACATTGGGAAGGTGGGATAAGCTCTTTCTCCCCTGTAAATCCAGTCTGAAGAGCTGCATTTTTATAGCCCTTTTCTACATCAGCATAATGGTTCTGAGTTTCTTAATGATCTGGCAGGATTTGGTACATGGTAAAAGGTTTCAGCTCTAAAGTTCACTTAAAAATACTATTTTGTGGATTGTTGACTATCAGTTTGAATCATTCCAAGAACATTTATTTCTAAAGCATTCTGTTAGGATTTAATATTTAGAATAGTCCTTCTTCTTTACTGCCATCTCCAGACCATCAAATGTAATTTTATTTTAGCTTGCAAAAGCAAATTTCCATAAAAATTGACCTTAAAAGATTATTTTTTTTCTTTATCTTCATTTTCTTTTTGTTTTCCAGTCATGGCTCTGATCTTCGTTTTGAAGAACTGGCAGAGTGATGTTGGGCAACTGCTGCTTGGAAAACTGCCCAGATTTGCACTTTGAGAATGAAGCTGTCAATTGGGACCCCTCTTTTAGCTAAAAGACTAAGGAAAATCTGATATTAGCCCACAGATATATTGCAGACTCCTTTTAAAATAGATTTTTTCCAGTGGAGAAATGGTGATAGGTTTTGCCTTTTTTCTTCAGTTTTTTCTTGGGAAGTTTTTTGTTGCTTTTGAAAGATAGTTTGAATAACTTAACCTGCTTTATAAGTAGACTTAACGTTCCTTTCTTCCATTCTTTTTGTCCCTCTTCTAAAGGAGTGCTTGCCTTTCTTATTTATGAGTGAGTTTTTTTTCTTTTTTAAAGATTTGTGCAATATGTTTTAAGGTGAAACTTAGTATATTTTTTCTATTAAATTAGAGAATTGATTATTACCCAGATTTTTTGAATATTGGCTAAAGATGATTCTTTAAGCAGTGATACATAAGTCCCAAATGGTAGTTCCTCATTGTTTACCTAGCTTTTGTACTTATTTTTTTCAGAGGAAGGAATACTACTGTAAATTGTAAATAGTCAGTACTACTGTATGCAATAACTATTGTATGCAAACCTGTTGGCAATGTCACCTTGGAAGAACAGATAAATAAAGTTTATTTCCTATATAGCATTTCTTATTGTGTTTCTTCCTAGGTTGAAATCTACTTCAAAATAGTTAAGAATCCATGTTTTACTTGGGTGAATATAGTGAAGAGCTGTCAGTCTAGCTAAATTCTGAGCATTTGGCAAGATTTTGTGTGTGTGTGTGTGTGTGTGAAATTTAGTATGACCAAGTTAGAAGCAGTGTGGAAACAGGAAATGTTCTAAAGTGTCTGTTTTAAAAGTGCCTCCTCTTTACAAAGTATGTATTCAAAATTAGTAGGACCAAGTTGGAAAAGGTATGGAAACAAGAAATACTCCATCATGTCTGTTTTAGGAGTGCCTCCCTCTCTGAAATAATACTTTTATTCTTTTTAAATTTGGTGAGAGAGAAATTTCTGGACACCAAGACTTGGGTACTGCTCCATATTTCCTTCATATTCTAGGAAACATAGTTCTCACAATCTAAGTATTATCTAACTTCTGCCCCAAGATATAACCCTAGTAAATAAGCCAGACTATACCATAGCTCTGCTGTTGTTTTATACTGTGCTGATAACTGGGGACAGAGAGGTGGGAGGTTTGGAGGATATGTGGCCAAAGAAACCCACCCATACCCCACAGCTGATTTGTTCTCTATTCTTGAACAGAAAGTTTTATTGCATAATTTTTAATCATAGTTTACTTAAATTAGCAAAATTCCATCCCACTAGGGGTTTCTAATAACAGACATGATTTCTTATCTTTTCCTAGGGTAGAAATGGTAGCCTCTGAGTGAAATCCATATGTGACTTCCTATAATTTCTCCTTAAACCCATTTCTGGAGACAACCATATCAAAAAGCAGGTTTCAGCAAACTTTTCCTATAAAGCACAGACAATAAACATATTTGGTCTTGCAGGCCATGTAGATTCTGTTGCAACTTCTTAACTTTCTATGTAGTGCATAGTCAGAAATAGATAATGCATAAATAAATGAGCATAGCTGTGTTCGAATAAAACTTTATTTATAAAAGTAGGTAGTGGGCTGGATTTGGCTTGTAGACTGTAGTTTGCCAACTGCCAAGAAAGGAAACAAGCTGGATTCTAAACGTGGATTTAGGGAGGAGTGACAAACAGTTAATATATAGGAGTCACTCATTTTTCCTCACAGGTATGTAGTGTCTCTTTCAGATAAGAGTGCAACACATTCACAATCCTTATGAACAATAGTTGTGACATTTTCTTATTGTTAACAAACATGTTTCAGTGAGAAGGATAATCCATTATATGGTGCTTAGCATTAGCGTCTTAAGACCCTATGGGAACTTTTCTCAAAGATCCCCTGTTACTGTATCCCTGATTGATAACCTGGGAAATACCAGGATTTTTCCAATGATAATTATAGGACCTGTTTACAGCTTAGGTTATTGTTTAGTGGTACTTAGTCTTCTATTCTCTGATATTGCAGACAAACAAATTTGTGATGGCTGAGGATCAGCCTTAGGTCACAGACAAAACACTGGCATTCTAGCACTTAAATCCAGAAATGGACTCTATAGCCAATGCTGTCTCCAAGAGGTCATGACTACTACAAAGATTGCTGTAGTAAATCTGTTGACAAGAATCCAGCATTTCACTTTGAGAGATGTTAGATGCCATTAAGTTATTATTTTAGCAAAAGTTTTGGCAAAAAAATATCACCTGCAGTTACCGGAATTTGTAGTTACTTTGTTCTAACCAGGTACATGTGAATTTTGGCAGAGAACAGCTTTGTGGTTAACTAGTTTTGAACTAGACATTCGTGAATTAAAGGACAGGAACATTATTTAGTTAGGTTTCTGTTATGTTCTTTAGAAGTAGACTTAAGATATATGCAAACATTGATACAATGACCCTCAGTAAGAAACAGGCATTTTAAAAGGTAAATTTTCTCAAGAGAAGCCTATGGTACAAATATGTTTTCATCTCATAATTTCCTAGTCACTTACTCCCCTGCTCCAGGAAGGCTTATTTCCCCTCAGTCAACCTGCTTTTCAGTGGAGTATTTGGTGTCTCTACCTCTGCTTCTTTCCACCACTCTGTTGGAGTGGGCAATTCAAATAATTGTCTTTTTAATTCATGGGTCACCTAGAGAAGTTAAAACAAGATGCAAGATAGATCATGTGATCCTAATATAATATCTGATGCCACCATGGGGTGAGATAACTGGTTTGTCAGGGGGGAGAGGATGAGTGTATTTTGGGGGACTTGTAAATGGGTTTTTGTAGTCCATTGTGAAAATTGTGGTAGAATGGATTATTCCTTCCAGTTCTTCACTCCTTTCCTATTTTGGATTTGTGACCACATATTTTGATGCAGTTATCTCCTTATAAAATGAATGAGACCATTTTCCCACCAGCATTCAATATGGCTACATAACTTTTGTTGGTGAGGTTTAGGTGGATGTGACCCATGTCACATGTGAGCAGAAGTTTTAAGAGTCCCTCCATAGTTCAACTGTTACTCTTGTATCTCTGTCATGAGACTGAGGTTGCGTCTTCAACCAGGGTGCAGAAGAATGAAGACATGTCACAGGGATGAGAAATAAACATGTATTGTTGTAGACTACTGAGATTTGAGCATCATTTGTTACCAAAAATAACCTAATTAAAGTTGACTGGTATATTGTGCAAACAAATAAAGTTGTAGGATAATGATTTTCTTTACATTTATCCTACTTGAGGTTTTATTGTCTTATATATGTAGGTCTTTTGCCACATTTTAGAAGTTTTCAGCTATATTATCAAGTATTTTTTCAGCCATACTCTCTGTTCTCTCCTTCTAAAATTCCAGTGGTACATTGTTAGATCCCTGAAACTGTGCTTATTTCTCTTTTTTTCAACCTATTTTCTCTTTGTTGTGCAGAATAATTTCTGTCGTTCCATCTTCATGTCACTGATTCTTTTCTTTGGATACCCCTCTTCTGCTCTTGAAACCATCCATTGAGTTTTAAATTCAGTTATTGTGTTCTTTAGTTCTAGAATTCCCTCCTAGTTCTGTTACAAACCATGTTGAAAGACTGGGATCCTGTTCTTAATCAATAAGAGTCCTTAGTGAACAAGGAGAGCACCTCCAGTTATTTCAGGCCCTTTTGCTATGTTTGGCAATCCTTTAGTGAGCAGTGGTGGCAGGTGACTGCAGGAAGCAGCAGATCCTCTAGTGTCACAGCCCTTGTATGGCAGGACTGTGCAGGACCCCAAGTCTTCTCTTAACAGGTGTTACAGCTCCCATGCCCTGAGTATTGGGACCTGGGACACTTTGACAGCACCAGTAGCTGCAGTGTTCAATATTGGCAGTGGCAAGTGTGCCACTCCCAATGTCAATCTGCTCCAACCACTGCCCACTCCAACGCTACCAAAGCAGCTCCAGCCCCCTCACCTCTGCTTCTACCTCTGCTGCCATTTTGATCTTTGTGTACAGGCTGAGCTCCTTTATTAATGATGAAAATCAAAGGTAAGAATAACCACTTAAAAAAACTCATTGGGAGGAGGATTCCAAGATGGCGGCTAGAGGTAGGAAGCAGAAAGCAAGCTTCCTATAGTGAAATCTTGGAGAGACGCTGGAGACACACTTTGCAGGCATAATCACTGAGAAAAGGCATAACTTTGACCCCTCCACATCTCCAGCTGGTGCAGAGAATCTCCACCTCACGTTAAACGGAGAAACGAGGAGGGCCCCCGGGGCCGCCAGTGGCCAGCGCCCATACGGCTTGGGAAGACGCAGACCAGGTGAGCTTCGCGGTACCGTGGTAGCCCGACAGACAAGCCTGGGCCAGAGCAGCATAGCCCCCTAGACAGACTGACCTCCACCCGGGGAAAAAAAGAGAAACTGAGTAATAAGCAATAAGAACAGTTAAGACACGCTGGAAAGAGGGTGGGGCACCCTGAGTGCTGAAGATTGGGGGAAGGGAATCCTTCCCAGGACTGTAAATAAACAAGCCCGGCGGGCCAGAGAGCCTCTGGCAGGAGCGGGGTGCGCGCCCAGCAACCAGGAGCAGGGAAGCTTGTGAGAGTGGCTGAGGGAGGAAAACTCCACAGGAGAGGAGGGACGACCCACTTCCCACATGAACTGTAAATAAACATGGCGGCCGGCAGGAGCAGCAGCACCACCCAGTAAGCAGGAGCAGGAAAGCTTCTGAAAGTGGCAGTGGGAGGAAAACTTCAGAGGAGAGGGGGGATGACCCACCTCCCACATGAACTGTAAATAAACATGCAGGCCTGACAACGTGGGGGCAGTGTCACCTTTCCCACTGCTTGGAAAGGGGAAAGCCTGTAGCAGAGGCTCCCGCACAGGAGAACTCTGAGCAAACAAAGCCTGTGGGACCAGGTGAGGGCTAGCTCACCCCAGAGATCTGCATAAATAACGCCACCAGCTACAGGCTGAGAGCAGCGGCAGGCAAGCCACAGTTGCAGATACCACTCTTAGAACTGTATCCAGATGCTTTTTTTTTCTTTTTCTCCCTACCTTTGATGAGAGAACAACCGAATTACACTTGCAAGCGGAAAACCTTACTGAAACTGTATTGCATTTGAACTTGGGACACTTGGTGGGGCTTTTTGTGTGTGTGTTTGTGTGTGTGTGTGAGTGTGTAGTTTTGTTCTACTTTATGCATCCCCTTTGATGAGACAACTACAGAACAACATCTGAGGCACCAACTCCAGGACTGGAGATTGAGACGAACACCCAAATTATTAAGACTGAAATTGCATTGCATGTAAACTTGGAAGTTGTTTGGGGTTTTTTTTGTTTACTTTTCTATTTTCCATTTTATTTTAATTCATTTTTATATATAGATATTTCTTTCATTTACTTATTTTTTATTTTTTTTATCATTGATTTTCAATCCTCTCTCTGTCTCTCTAATGTCTGTTCAGCTTACTGTCTATTAGTACACTAACACTCCCTGTTTATATCTTTGAAATTCTCTAGTCTGATACCTTGTTCTGCTTTCTCCCTCTTGTCTGTATATTTGTTTTC